TCTGCCGTGATCGGGGGCAGGTCCGACGTGGTGATCCAGTCAGCAGGCCTCAACTGCTGGCCGTCCCCGCAGCTCCACAGGGCCTTCCATTCCACTAGCATCTGATCCAATGCCGCTTGGCCCACCAGTGGCACGGAAGGCGAGTCGCCGCTGCCGTCCGCCAAGATCGGCTTCGCCTCGCCGTGGACCTTCTTGCTAATGGCATGAGCTCCACGGCCTCCTCCCGCCAGCGACTCGTCCACGAACTCCTTCCAGCGGGTCCTAGCTGCAGACGCATCGCCCTTGACGTGCTTGTCAGTGACCCTGGCGGTGGTCTTCAACACCTGCAGCCCTTCCATGGAGCCGCTCCTGACCTCGTGGACTATCGTCTCCATCTTGGTGCCGTTGAACATCGGGTTGCCCAAGCTGTCGAACTGAACTGCCAGTGAGAGGATCGCCCGTTCCAGGTGCTTCATGTATAGCGTATGGCATTTTGCTGGCTCTGAGACCGAAGCTGCCGCCCTGAGTTGCTTGACCAGCCTGCCGAGAGAACGCCGCAACCTCGTCGAAGGGCTTACCTTTCTGGAAGTCTCGGTACGCTGGAGGTCCTTGAGGCTGATCTCTACCCGCTTGAGCCCGTCCGCTCTGCCACGGTACTTGGGGCCGTCTCTGAGACCCAGCATGCCAATCAGGTGGGTCTCTGCTTTGTCGAAGAACTCTCGCACTGCCTCGTCTGGCCCCACGCCTGGAGCGGGCAGGGCCGCCTGCCAGACTATGTCCTGGGCGTCTTCCACCGCCTTCTGCTGGTCCTCGTCCGAGATGTGCGTCGACAGGTCGAATCGCTTGGGGCCTCGCAATACCCAGACCTTGGCATGGGCCCCCAGCTTGCTGAAAGTAAGACGCACTGGAGCATGGGGGTGTGTAGACGTTGGCCGAAGCACGTCTGCCGTTGGGCTGAGAGCCGCAAGGGAGGCCGATATCACGAAGCAGTCGTATACTCGATCGTTCCCCGAGGTCACTGAGCAAGTAGGAAGCTTGGGCACCACGGCTGCCCCGCCCACAGAACGCGGCCACCACGAGCTCTCCAACAGCTGCGGCTCCATGCTCCAGTCAGCTGCCACAATAAAAGGCTCGCACTGAGAGTTGAGGAAGACCTGCGGCTCGCTCAGCAGCTCCACGTTTGTGCCCGTCATCTTGGCGGAGTGCTCCAGGTAGGCACTGACCACGGTCACCATCAAGTCCCCGAATACCACCCTGCGAGCGAGAAGCCGCGCGCTGCAAGGACCCCAGTCATGGTCCACGGGTGCTGATCCTCTGTGTGCCGCCACAGGACAGCCAACCCCCGATGACACCGACTGGGCCGAGCTTCCCGTTCTCCTGCATGGGCTGAATGAAGCGTTAAGGCCGTTGCGAGTGCCCCATCCGATGGCCTCGCTCTCCTTCTCCTTCCCCGTGAAGCGCGTCTCCTGGATAAGGTAGACATCGCCCTTCAAGCCAGAGTCCGAGAGGCGCTCAAGCTCCGTCTGCGCCTCCTTCCATGTCGTGCCATTCGAAGAGATGAAGGACGCTGGGCTAGCCACAGGCGGCGCCGCCAGCTTGGCCAAGCAGAGCGTTAGCGGCCCCTCCCTCTGTGGCAAGACGCCCCCCTTGGTGTTCTGCAGCTCTGGGACAGATCGGAGGCCCAGGGTGTCCACCGTGACACTGGAGTTGAGAAAGCTTCTTGAGTCCCAGCTTGGACTGTCTGCAGCACCCACGACCCTCTCGACAGGCGAGGGTCTTGATCCAGCGGGTGGCGACTGAGCCTGGCCCGAGCTCGAGGAGCACTCGGGACCAGGTCTTACCTTGCTCTGGCGTGTTTGTCCAGGGATGCATTCTGACACCGCAGTCCGCGAAACCGAAGAGGCTCCCTTTGCTGACCAGGGCGACCCAAGGCTGGCTTGCACCACGTGCAGGTTGGCTTGGCTGGGACAGGCCCTGCCGCCAGGAGGCGGCTGCGAGGGCGCGTGCGACAGCATGAGCAGCTTCGCCGTCAGGTTGTCGACGTAGTCCATCGCCTGGTCGTCATCAGGGTCAGGCCGACGAGTAGGGTCCGACTCCATTCCCCCACCAGGCCTCTGAGGCGGCACTGGGTCTCCAGGAGCTCTGTCCCCAAGTAGTCGGCGAAACATGGCCCTGATCTGCGCCAGTTGCCTCCAGTGCGCGTGCTCGAGTCGCCACCGATCCAGAGGCTGGGCACTGTTGAGCCTGACCAGAAAGGCAATGCGGCGGGGCTCTGACTGCCTCCAGCCGCTGAGGCACAGCTCGTCCAGGATATTGTCCAAGTGCCAGCCTGGGAACCAGATCCTCAGTAGGCGCCTGAGCGGCTCGTTCCCGCCGTCCGCGAGCATCGCGCCCAGGAAAGCCTTGCACCAGCGCCTCCAGTGCCCGCTGTCTGTCTCCAGCTCAGTGTGAGAGTCAAACCAGGCGGCAGCCCAGTCCCTGAGGTCAGCCCTCATGTCGTTGAAGTCCTGGATGGCCTGCCACTCCGGGTCAGCAGCATCGGGTGGGGGCCCCATAGCCGCTGGCCTCTGCCCCAAGGGCTCGGGCAGGACTGCCTCGGGCACGGCGCACAGCGGCTTGCAGTACTGCCTTTCGATCAGCGTTGCCCCCTTGTCTGGGCGGGCCAGGGCAGGGACCCAAAACCCCCCGACTTGAGGCCAGTCGAGGTCCACGGACTTGTTGCTCCAGAAACGGTCCGCTGGTCGAAGAGATCCAGCTGCCTCGGCCAAGGGCGCCCGCCGATCACCCTCAGCCTCTGCGTCAACTGGGTCTGCCCCCTCAGGCAGAGTCCGCCTGAGGGGGCGGCGGGCGACAGATCCTGGCCGCCCTCTGCTCGAAGTTGTCTCTGGATGACTCCTCCTCCTTGGGCGACTGCTTGGCTGCGGAGGGAGGCGACGGCGTCGTCGCGTCGGAGTCCGCTGCCTCGCCGCCCTTGCCTCTCGGAGCTGATCCTGCAGCGGCCGCCCCTGCTGAGCCAGGGTCTCCAGGGCCTGAACCCTGACGCCGCCTCTTCCCAGCCAGCCGTAGAGCCATGGCGTCCTGCTCCTCCTTGAAGAGTTTGGCCTTCTCTGCCGCCTGCCCGAACATTTGCTTGACGGCGTTGGACAGCTCGCTCTTGAGGCGGGCGCTGCGATCTGCCAGCTCCTTCTTGTCATTTGCATCCATCTCGTATTCCTCGTCGTCGAACCCAAGGCCAGCAAACGAAAGAGGAATTTCCTCGATGGAGCCGTCGAGGATGCCAGCCACACTGATGGGGGCCACTGACGGAGTTGAGTCCTGGCTGATGTCGACCATCTGACGATTGAGCTCAACCACCAGCTTGCGGTGCTCAGCCTTCTTCGATTCCATGTCCTCGCAAAGAGATTGGACCCACCGCCTCTGGCTCTCGAGGCCCTCCTCGAGCCGCTCGAAGTGCAGCACCGCCTTCTCCAGCTTCTGCGCGATGTCCTGCACCTGCTTGTGGGCCTGCGTGACTCTCTGCGACAATGGCGGCACATAGAGCGCCTCCTGCTGGAGTCGTCGCCGTTCTTGAAGGGTGCGCCTGTGCTTCGCGAGGCTGACCGTGTCGCCCAGCTTCTCCAGCGTGGCCACCAGCTGCTCCAGCTCGTGGAACTCAAGCTCCACCGAGGGTCCCTCCTGGGCCACCAGGAACTGTGCACCAGGCGCTCGAGGAAGCTTGGCTGGGTCACCGCCTGCTGCTCCCTCAGCACGGCCCCCTTTACCACCTTTGCCGCCGTCACCTTTGCCCGAGTCCTTGCCTTTCTTGCCCTTCTTGCCGCCTTTGCCGTCCTTGCCATCGGCATCCCCGTGCTGTCTTCGCTGCTCGCTCCAGACCCCAGCGGGTTCGGCAGCGACGGCTGGGCTGATGTCCGAGAGCTTATGGCCGCAGGCTTTGCAGAACTTGCTGCCCTTGGAGTTCTTCTTGCAGCCGCACTTACTGCACCACGGCCCTCCTCCAGCTTGCCCCACCTGGTGCCAGCCCTCGAGGTCGTCGTCGGAACCGATGTCCCGCCATGCCTGCCACTGGTGCTTCTGTTGCCCTCCCCAGGGTGGGGACACGAACTTGGTCGGCAGCTTCCACCACGGAGGCCGCACGGCCGCAGGAGCAGGAGCCATGGGGCGAGCACCAGGAGGCAAATCCTGGACGTCGTTGCAGGGTACGGTGCTCCTCACGGGAGCTGCTCCGACAGGAGCTCACACAAGTATGTCTGCAGCCAACCTGGCCGCAGGATCGCGGGCGGGGGCGCGCCTCCCCCACGCCAGGTGACTTCAAGCCCTTGTGCCAGAAACGGCTACGGACTTGAGCCAAAATGGCTACGGACGACGGTGGGGCATTGGACAAGGAACCCTGAGATAAGGAATCCAGGGTCTGGAAGCCGGTGGAACTCCAATCGAAACGTGGCCATATCACCGCCGCCATCATCAGATAAGGAATCCTCCAGGGTCTGCAGCCTCCTGGGCGCTTTCCTCAACCAACGCCTCCGCCGTATCGCACTGAAGGACCACACCACGGACATCATTTCGAGAACCCAGAGAAGTATCGAAACAATGTCGAACGAGTATCGCCTCACAGGGCCCGACACGCGAAAACCTCCAGCTTCGATACTTTCTTGGTGCTCGAAATGTTTTAAAGCTAAACAGCTGTTGGGACAACAGCTGTTTAGCTGTTGGGACCTGAACCTGGGCGGCTCTCGCATCAGCGAGGCCGTCGGCAATGGAATTTGCACGAAATCGTTCACCACGGAGCCACCACAACGGGCGAGCTATTGGGGAACGTCGAGCAAGTGGCTGGGCACGTTTAGGGGGCCACAGGCGAACCCTACCCCTACCCCCCACGATTTCCGAGGGGGAGGGTGGGGTCCACTTCGCTCGCGAGCCCCCGAACGAAGTGAACCTCCCCCTCCCCCGCAGAACTCGTGGGGGGTAGGGGCAGGGTTCGCCTGTGAGCCCCCAACGTTCGAGAGCAGACCGTCCCGCGCGGCCTGCCGACGAGCCCAATGCCCCGCCGGTCGTCTCCCGTGGCGAGTCTGGTCCGCAGCCGTACGCCAAAGCGCCGGCGGGGGCCCGCGGCGGCGGTGCGTGCCGAACGGGCTTCCTGCGGGAAAGCAGGGGCAAGCCCGCTCTCGCCATGCCCTTCCACGCTCGCTCTCCTCGCGTCCCGCCCTCCCCTCCCTTCCCCTTCACCCCTCCCCAGCCTCTTCTTCTCAGCTTTCCCCTCTGTCCGCCACTGACGCCTGTGCTCCTCCCCCCTCCCCATTCCCCTCCCGCTTCCCACTCACCGTCAATATGCCTCCCGCTCCCCATCTGTGAACGATGTCGGCACTGGCTCTCAGCAATCGGTCATAGCTATTGCCCCACTGTTCACGCTACTGTTGCCGCTGATCAGGCTGCATTGCCAATATTCGGAGCCCGACACCTCTTGATCCTGTTCGTGTGGAGGCCCTTTGGACTCAACGCCGACACCGTCCAACACATGCACGGATGCTAGGCCGACACCCTCGCTAACTTCCAGATTCAGACGAGCATACCTGACCGCTGCTCTTGTGCTGCTGGTCACCAGCAGCATCCGCGAGTGCAATGTAGGTGTATCTATGGAAAGTGTTTTGCCTGTCCGTCGATAGATTGTGCCAAGGTTTATTTAGGTTAATCGGTTCTTGATGTTCTTGTACTTGATACTCGTGTTCGTCATGCTCAAAGGTGGCTGTTAAAATCCGACGAACCTGAGACAACATGGCTATAATGTCCGGTGTCGCCAGCATTGATACCCCATGGGCAACGGTGAGCGAGTGGAACGTTACCCCAAACATCTTCGCAGTCTCCTTGGGCCAAGAAGTTGGCCGCGCAACCGCTGGCGCCAGCGGGAGTGGAAGCGACGTGTTCAAGTGGACGAGGACGCACCTTGCACTACGTCGGCGGTGGACAAACCTCCCTTTAGTAAACCTCCCCTTAGTGAAAACGGCCTGGGACCGAAACCGACGGACCTGGACCCGCAAAAATGACGGCCGCGACGCCCTCTCGCGAACCGAAAACGGCCAATTCCTTAATCGACGTGTCAGGGTAGGAGGTCTATCCACCTCCGATGCCTCCTATGCCCACCATCTTTTCGACCTTACTTGGGAAGCGTCATATTCAGTCACCAAGGTATCGCGGCGTCCCAACGTCGGCTTACAAGTCAAGACAGCTAGGCGTCCCACGAGACTCCGGACCCTGACTCCAGTTCGAGCTCATCGGGCACCTCTCCGCGCGACGCACGTGGAGAATGGGGCTCAAACGTGAGCGACGTGATCGCGAGAAGCACGCGCGCCTCACGGAACACATGACCGACCAGAGCGACCAAATGGGAGAGGACCTGGCTGATGAGCAGCTGGCGTTGCAGGCAGAGCGCCAACAGATCAATGACCTCCTCTCGCCGACGCTCACGAAGCAGGTGCTGGCTGCCGTCTCGGATGAGCAGTGGCGAGTCATCAGGCAACAAGCTGAACCTTATGAATTACCAAATCCTGATGAACTGATGCAGCAGAGTACGGCCTACACGCTTACGCGTCAAGCCAGCAAGGAGCTAGGCGACAAGTACATGAAGTGGGCACAGGCGGCAGACCACTCGCTGGCCACCCTCGGTGGCAAGGAAGAAGAGGCCAAAACCATGCGAGGTCTTCCACGTCGATGCCAAGCGACAAGTGCCCGGCGAGTTCGACACGATGAGCACGCTGATTTCTGGGCGCCAGACATAGTGCGCAAGACGGAGTTGAACTCGCAGCACGCACTACGGCGCGAAGCGTTGCTCCAGGTCAGTCAGAGGGCAAAGCGACATGGAAAGCGAGCTCGACAAAAAGGCCAAGGCGAGCCCCAGCCGTGCGACTTCCAAAGTTTGCCAATACGCAGTCCCCAGAAGTTCCGCGCCCGAACCAGCCGCTGGCCCCAGGAAAAAGAACCCGTTCCGTGCACGGACTCCCCCCTTCCGTCCCTCCACGGATCCCCTCGGTCCAGGGACGGGCCCCCCCAGTCCCCGCAAGTGTCAGTGCACGGTAGTGCTCGTATTTAGTTAAGTGTACTAGTTAATTGTATCAGTTAAGTGTATTAGTTATATGTATTACTTAAGTATACTAGTTAAGTGTATTAATTAAGTGTATTAGTTGAGTGTATTATTTAAGCGTATCAGTTAAGTGTATTAGTTAAGTGTGTTAGTTAAGTGTATTAGTTAAGTATATTAGTTCAGTGTATTGGTTCAGTATACGAGTTAAGTGTATTAGTTAAGTGTATTCATCCTCTCCTGTCCTCTCCTCTCCTTCCGTCTCCTCCCCTTCCCTCTCCTCCCTCCACACGTACACTTAACTAATACACTTAAGCAATACGCTTCACTAATACACACCGATCCTCCCTCTCCTCCCTTCTACTGCCAGCCCGTCCCCATACTTACACTTAACTAATACACTTAACTCATACATTTAACTCATACACTTAACTAATACACTTAATCAAACTAATACGCTTGACTAATACACTTAGCGAATACACTGAATTAGTACACTTAACTAATTGCAAGTGCTACTGTACACTTACATTGTACATTTACACCCTTTTTGCCGCATACTTTCGTCGAATCCTCGCGAACAGAAATTAATTGCACCATATAGACTGCTCCACATTGATTCTACAATGTAGAGTGCTAGAAACACATTGCTTGGGTCCACGTTTTCTGCCACCACCCCTTGTAAAACAAAAAAACAAATTCACCGTGCCCCAAAATCTGGGGCATGCGCGGGCGCCCCGCGACCACTTCGCATAGGTTTTTGACATGGACGGCGCGGGTGCCAGCATATCGGCAGCGCACAAGCCAACCATCCCTTTCAAAAAACAATACACATGTACATTTTGGCCTGGGGCATGCGCAGGGCCCTCTTTCTCTGATCTCTCATCTGTTTCGCTACTCCTCAGCATGTCATAATTTGTCAATCGGTGCTGGTGCTTTGCGCTCCCTGGCACAACCGACCTTCTCACAGAATGTCCAGCATTTCGCTTCAGAGGGATTCGAGATCCTGAACTCCTTGGGGGCAGGGCCCCGCACCTGGGGTCCCTACTGGTTCGCCGTAGCTGGCGCACCTGGCGCGGCTGGAGCATGTGCCGCACCTGACACGCTTGGGCCTCCAGGGTGCCTGGTGCACCTGGAACCCGCGGCGCGCATGGCATGCGTGGCGTTCCTGAGCGATCTGTTGGCACTCGGGCGATACGTATGTGAGCTAGACGGCCTGCTATCTAGGAGGGTAGCTTGCAGCAGCCCGCAGTTGCGGATAAGAGTGAGGGGGCAGCGAGGACGTCGTCAGACTGAAAAGCTACGATGAAGCCCGCCGCAGGCGCCTAACTTTTACAAAATATGCAGTGAGCCCGCCGCATGCGCCGATTTCTCGCTAAAGCAATGTGGGTGGATCGTGGGGTGGGTCGCGGGTGGGTCACGGGCCAGGTCGCGGGTGGGTCGCGAGGTGGGTCGCGGGTGGGTCGCGGGCCAGGTCGCGGGTGGGTCGCGGGGTGGGTCGCGGGTAGGTCGCGGGGGGGTCGCGGGGTGGGTCGCGGGGTGGGTCGCGGGGCGGGTCACGAGGTGGGACGCGGGTGGGTCGCGGGGTGGGTCGCGGGTGGGTCGCGGGTGGGTCGCGGGGTGGGTCGCGGGGTGGGTCGCGGGTGGGTGGGTGGGTCGCGGGGTGGGTCGCGGGTTGGGTCGCGGGTTGGGTCGCGGGGCGGGTCGCGGGGTGGGTCGCGGGTGGGTCGCGGCGTGGGTCGCGGGGAGGACGACGACAACAAAACAACAAAACAACAAAACAACAACAACAACAACAACAACAACAACAACAACAACAACAACAACAACAACAACAACAACAACAACAACAACAACAACAACAACAACAACAACAACAACAACAACAACAACAACAACAACAACAACAACAACAACAACAACAACAACAACAACAACAACAACAACAACAACAACAACAACAACAACAACAACAACAACAACAACAACAACAACAACAACAACAACAACAACACCAACAACACCAACACCAACAACAACAACAACACCACCACCAACAACAACAACAATAGCAGCAACACAAATCACAATCATTATAAGGCTGTTCGCTCTTACTTGCCCGCGTGTTATTCAAAACGGGTTCCCCACACCCTCGAGACCAGCTGTTTTTGTCTTCGATCACACCCCCTTTGTGGGGAATTCGTTCTCTGAACGGGCGGACAATCCTTCGTGGGCGTACACGTGCCTGCCATTGGAAGGTGTGGGCCCTGCCAAAAATTATCCCGATGTGTAGAAGCATATCTGGAAGCATTCTCCTTAAGATTCAGATCAGAATCCAGTTGTAGAATTCTGCTGTTCTCACAGTCGCAGTCGCATTCGCGATGACAGTCGCAGTGGCAACGGCATTCGCAATCACAGCCTCAGCCTCAGCCTGCCTGAGTATCAGCCTGCCTCACTCTCAGCCTCAGCCTGCCTCAGCCTGCCTCAGCCTCAACCTCAGCCTGCTTCAGCCTCAGCCTCAGTCTGCCTTCAGCCTCAACCTCAGCCTCGGCCTCAGCCTGCCTCAGCCTCAGCCTGCATCAGCCTCTGCGTCTGCCTCAGCCTCAGCCTCAGCGTCTGCCTCAGCCTGCCTCAGCCTCAGCCTCAGCCTCAGCCTCAGCCTGCATCAGCCTCAGCCTCAGCCTCAGCCTCAGCCTGCCTCAGCGTCTGCCTCAGCCTCAGTCTGCCTTCAGCCTCGGCCTCAGCCTCAGCCTGCCTCAGCCTGCCTCAGCCTCAGCCTCAGCTCTGCCTCAGCCTCAGCGTCAGCCTCAGCCTCAGTGCCTCAGCCTCCGGGCATTCAAAATGTGGCCCGGGAATGGAGTTCTGGGAATTCGAAGAGCACGAAGTGGCCTACAGTTGGCTCCGGGCATTCAAAATGTGGCCCGGGAATGGAGTTCTGGGAAGTCGAAGAGCACGAAGTGGCCTACAGTTGGCTCCGGGCATTCAAAATGTGGCCCGGGAATGGAGTTCTGGGAACTCGAAGACCACGAAGTGGCCTACAGTTGGCTCCGGGCATCCAAAATGTG